ATACTATATTTAAGGTTTGGAACATTATCTCTTCATTTCTGGCATGCTGTGTTTGACAAGAAAGGTCCATGATTTTGGTATTGGGTAAGCTTGTGTCAGAAGAAAATGTAAGCATTTTAAAAACACATTAACTGCCTATTGTGTGGAAATATAAAAAGTAGACTACTTCATAATTAGGGCCCAAAGTTAATTTATGCCTTAAAAAAAAACAAAATATATGAGAAATTAAAAAAGAACATCCAGATCAGGAACAAAGAGGCCAATGAAATATGATTTTGCACTTGATTTATTGAAATGTGTTTTCAATGTTACTTTAAAAATGACATTTAAAATAAAAAAAAAGAAACACACAAAACATACTTGTTATATTACTAAAATATTTAAAAGAGCATGTTTCAAACTTGTGCATTTTCGAAATGATGCACAAGTTTCCTGCATTTGGATGAGTAGCACAAACCTGCTTGTTTTTGTAAAGGCCTTTGCGCCATCAAGTGGTACAGTGAGAAAAACATATTTGAAATGTTACATTATCAATCGATTTGACACATTTCTTCAAATGAATGTAGTTGCTCTCAAAACAAATAACATAGTTTTGCAGTTTATTCTAGTAATGCATTTATGAAACGTAAATATCTTCAAAACTACAGGTGTGTTCTCTATTGATTTTTTATAACAGATGCAGCTATTGACACACAAATACACTAATGAAGATACATGTTTATCATATAGTTCTTCAATAAGGGGGTAGAAGTTCTACTGTCTCAAAATACAGGCCAATTCCAATGTGGTTGGTGGCATTGTTTAAAAGTGGCATGCTCTTATTCCATTGAAAACAAACTTGCTCATCCACCTCAGTGTTGACTTTAATTCTGAACAATGTTTGGACATTTACAGAACTTTCCATACTAATGCTGTCTTTACTACACAACTACAAATGTACACTATCAGCAATCATAATACTAAAAAAAAGACGTGTAATATTTTGAATCTTAACTAATCTCATCTTTAACTTTGAATCTGTTTAGCTTCTACCAAGAAGAGGCCATGAGCGTGACTCCCATTTATTTTAAAAGTCTGTACCTTTTACATCACTTCACTTCTCTTCCATCCTGCTGTCCCTTTCTGTCTGTTCATGTCTTCTTACAATTTCTCCTCTTATTGGTTCCACTACACCAAGGCCCTTTTCCTTTTCCCCATTATTCTCTTTATGCCCTCTCCTTTTCTTAAACTCTCTCCTCCTCTCCACTCATCTTTACCTGTTCCGCTCTTCCTCTCGTTACACCCCTTCCTCAACTCTCTCCACCACCTTCCACTCTGATGCCTCTTTCTTTTCCCCTTCTCATGCTTTCTTATTATTTGTATAACAATGTTTGTTACTTTTGAAAATAAAATTATACAATTGTGATAGCGGTATAAATTTCCTGTTATGTGTGTATTATCAACCCTGCAGATAACAGTTTGGGGCCTAATGAAATCATTCCATGTGCAATTGAGTTTAGAGAAGAAAATCTATTGTAGATGTAACATCCATCTAGAACATCTATTTAAAAAAAAAAAAAAAAAAAAAAACTTCACTGTAATGGCCATACATGCATTTCTGTCAGGACCACTATCGTCAAATATTGGCAATTGGATTGGCGGTATGGTTCAGTTCTGGGCGAGAATGCCTGCGCAGCCTAGCATGGAAAAGTGCAGGGAGAGCAGCAATAACCCCCCTTAGGGTAAACAGAACAGAACCAACATGAATGTATTGCAGATATCATTAATTCAAGATTTTAAAGTACTACATAATTGATTCAAGGGGAATCGGAATGCCAAATCCTGACTGGACGAGAGGAGGAGCTGGGGATGGAGGAGGGTAATTCGCTCCTGAGAAACGCGATAGCTGCTGATAATACTGAAGGAGCTTAAATATGTATACAGTGATGTTGTATTCCTATAGGTAGAAGTGGATCAGCTGAGAGTCAGCTGATGCGAGCTTGACGTGTCCTGCCAGAACTGATGCTATGATTGATTTATGCAAACTTTGATGATATGATCATATGATGATATGATCAAAGTCTGCACAAATGTGCGTGTATGGCTATGGCCATTACGGTGAAGTGTTTTTCTTTTCTTCTTTCTTTTAAAAAAAAAGAAGATGTTTTAGAATGGATGTTAGATCTAGAATAAATTTTCTTCTCCAAACTCAGATCACTGCTTTCAAAACAATTAATATAGTTTTGAGAAAAATCTTATTACTGACTTGACTATTGAATTGATTTTGTATATTTTTTTTTCTTATGATGCATCCCATTCTTGTATAATTGTTTTATTTTTTTATGTGTTGTTACTGAATAAAAAGGAAAAAGTACTTATCCACTCGACTGGGTCTTCTAAAACATGAATACATATATGGAATACTAGGGACTGTCCTGCGACCAGTAGGCCTGTAACATCAGCTATAGTGAGCGAACTAGAATGCCCACCATTTTGGAGAGAGACGGAGAGATGTAAACATTTCATATTGCGGATTATTATTACACCGGGGCTATACCCTTGTCTATACCCAGCATGGAGTTCTATTATTGACTATAGTGTGCATAATCAGTTCAGCATAATGTGACATCCATTGTGTTTAGCAGTTTGTGCCTTTTACTCCCCAGTGATATGCTGACAGAAGTCCCAGAAAAAAATTACTAAGTATAAAGTCACTTTATTTCATTGGAACATATCTTTTAATTCTCATGAATTAAAAATAAGTTCTTGATTACATTTAACATTTGATCAAGTTAATTTTTAGTAGTATATAGGCTACTATAACATGACCAAAAATGTCAAACATTGAATAGAGCTCAATATCAGATGTGTCAGATATCAGATATTGGCCCGAGATGCTGGAGGCTCCCAAAAGATTATATGGATAGATAGTCATCCAAAGCTAAACAGCATTAAATAGCATGGCTGGATTCAAATATAAGCAAACTATGAAATCATAAAATTAATGAATTTCAATTTGATGTATAGACAAAAGGACAACTGCCATTATCTGGAGGCAACAAACATTTCAATGCTAAAAAGTCCAGTACTGTGACGCGCCAGTAGGCGGAGCTAAAAGTCAGAGGAATCACCAGGGTTAAACTAAACCTGTTCCCCGTGTTCCCCAACAGCCTAATTAAGTTGGCTTGTGAGAGCCAACTTACTGCAATCCTATTTAAACTTATTATTATTAAGTTGGCTTGTGAGAGCCAACTTACTGAAATCCTATTTAAACTTATTATTATTAAGTTGGCTTGTGAGAGCCAACTTACTGAAATCCTATTTAAACTTATTAAGTTGGCTTGTGAGTCCATACTTATTATTAGTGTGAATCACTCTTGAAATCCAAAGCTTTATTATTATTATTCCGTATTCTTCCGTGGTCGTTTTCAACTCCCTCTCTACTTTGTGCTACAAAAACCATTCAACTATCAAAATGTTCAGCTTTTCAAGGACTTTTATGCTATTATTTATCTTTTTGATTTGACTTTCAGATTTCTTAAAAAAACATATTAAAAATCATAAAAATCCCATTGACTTCCATTGCAAAAGTTCAAATTCAGCCAAGACTACGGTGGCCCAGTAGCCTGGGAAAACCCAGCCAACTTCCGGCAAATTTAGATTTGCTCTGAAAGTTAGTTTGGCAAAGAGCTCATTCAAGCCCATTTCCAATCCGTCGAAATCGAGGCACCAATCAGAAACACGATGACGACACGATGGCTTTACACGATGACGACAGCGCTGGGATTTTGAAGCAGATTTTGTAGCCTACATTACAAAGATGGATGCCGCCGTCGAACATCACTCATTCGAATCAGCTATCGCGTCTGTTTTAAGCGATTTGAACGTTTCCTTTTTGTTAAAAACCGAGCAAAGAACAACACTCGGAGATGTTTCTGCCGCTCTGCATACGCCATCTCCTTCATCGCTCTGATTGGTTTTAGGTCTATCCACGACGTCCGTTGGTGACCCCCCTCTGGAAATGATTTGTCTATGACGCTTTGCCAGACCATAACTCAGTTACAACTGAGAATGGTCTGGTTTTAACCAGGCTAGTGGCAGGCTAGGCCCAGTAGTGTACAACACAAAAACTCACATCTAAACACCCTGAAGCCCTAGACTCAATTAAACTACCATTATGTACTAATGAACTTATCTATCTATCTATCTATCTATCTATCTATCTATCTATCTATCTATCTATCTATCTATCTATCTATCTATCTATCTATCTATCTATCTATCTATCTATCTATCTATCTATTTATCTACCTAATCTATCTTTCTTCCTCTCTCTCTTTCTCTCTACCTAATCTTTCTTTCTTTCTTTCTTTCTTTCTTTCTTTCTTTCTTTCTTACTAATCTATCTATCTTTCTTTCTTTCTAACGAATCTTTTTTTCTTTCTAACTAATCTATCTATCTTTCTTTCTATCTAACTAATCTATCTAACTATCTATCTATCTATCTATCTATCTATCTATCTATCTATCTATCTATCTATCTATCTATCTATCTATCTATCTATCTATCTATCTATCTATCTATCTTTCTAACTAATCTATCTTTCTTTCTTTCTTTCTTTCTAACTAATCCATCTTTCTTTCTTTCTTTCTTTCTAACTAATCCATCTTTCTTTCTTTCTTTCTTTCTTTCTTTCTTTCTTTCTTTCTTTCTTTCTTTCTTTCTTTCTTTCTTTCTTTCTTTCTACCTAATCTTTCTTTCCTTCTAAGCAATCCATCTTTCTTTCTTTCTAACTAATCCATCTTTCTTTCTTTCTTTCTAACTAATCCTTCTTTCTTTTTCTTTCTTTCTTTCTTTCTTTCTTTCTTTCTTTCTTTCTTTCTTTCTTTCTTTCTTTCTTTCTTTCTTTCTTTCTTTCTAACTTTTCTTTCTTTCTTTCTAACTAATCTATCTATCTTTCTTTCTTTCTAACTAATCTATCTATCTTTCTTTCTAACGAATTTTTTTTCTTTCTAACTAATCTATCTATCTTTCTTTCTATCTAACTAATCTATCTATCTTTCTATCTATCTATCTATCTATCTATCTATCTATCTATCTATCTATCTATCTATCTATCTATCTATCTATCTATCTATCTATCTATCTATCTTTCTTTCTAACTAATCCATCTTTCTTTCTTTCTTTCTAACTAATCCTTCTTTCTTTCTCTTTCTTTCTTTCTTTCTTTCTTTCTTTCTTTCTTTCTTTCTTTCTTTCTTTCTTTCTTTCTTTCTCTTTCTTTCTTTCTTTCTTTCTTTCTTTCTTTCTTTCTTTCTTTCTTTCTTTCTACCTAATCTTTCTTTCCTTCTAAGCAATCCATCTTTCTTTATTTCTAACTAATCCATCTTTCTTTCTTTCTAACTAATCCTTCTTTTTTTTTTTTTTACCTAATCTTTCTTTCTTTTTTTCTACCTAATCTTCCTTTCTTTCTTTCTTTCTTTCTTTCTTTCTTTCTTTCTTTCTAACTTTTCTTTCTTTCTTTCTAACTAATCTATCTATCTTTCTTTCTTTCTAACTAATCTATCTATCTTTCTTTCTAACGAATTTTTTTTCTTTCTAACTAATCTATCTATCTTTCTTTCTATCTAACTAATCTATCTATCTTTCTATCTATCTATCTATCTATCTATCTATCTATCTATCTATCTATCTATCTATCTATCTTTCTTTCTAACTAATCCATCTTTCTTTCTTTCTTTCTAACTAATCCTTCTTTCTTTCTCTTTCTTTCTTTCTTTCTTTCTTTCTTTCTTTCTTTCTTTCTTTCTTTCTTTCTTTCTTTCTTTCTTTCTTTCTTTCTTTCTTTCTTTCTTTCTTTCTTTCTTTCTACCTAATCTTTCTTTCCTTCTAAGCAATCCATCTTTCTTTATTTCTAACTAATCCATCTTTCTTTCTTTCTACCTAATCTTCTTCTTTCTTTCTTTCTTTCTTTCTTTCTTTCTTTCTTTCTTTCTTTCTTTCTTTCTTTCTTTCTTTCTTTCTACCTAATCTTTATTTTTTTTCTACCTAATCTTTCTTTCTTTCTTTCTTTCTTTCTTTCTTTCTTTCTTTCTTTCTTTCTTTCTTTCTTTCTTTCTTTCTTTCTTTCTTTCTTTCTTTCTTTCTTTCTTTCTTTCTTTCTTTCTTTCTTTCTTTCTTTCTTTCTTTCTTTCTTTCTTTCTTTCTTTCTTTCTTTCTTTCTTTCTTTCTTTCTTTCTTTCTTTCTACCTAATCTATCTTTCTTTCTTTTTTCTCTCTCTTTCTCTCTACCTAATCTTTCTTTCTCTTTCTTTCTTTCTTTCTTTCTTTCTTTCTTTCTTTCTTTCTTTCTTTCTTTCTTTCTTTCTTTCTTTCTTTCTTTCTTTCTTTCTTTCTTTCTTTCTTTCTTTCTTTCTTTCTTTCTTTTTCTTTATTTCTCTTTCTACCTAATCTATCTATCTTTCTTTCTTTCTTTCTTTCTTTCTCTCTCTCTCTCTCTGCGTGTGGGTTGCATGCTGGGAGCAGAAGTGTGGTGTGGGGTGTGAGAGCGGCACGTTTTGGATTTGGTTTCAAGTTAAAATTTCTTTTACTGTGGTTTAGTTAAGTTGTTTTTTCTTTTATCACTTTTTTATATATAATATGGAAAAACAAAAAACAAAACTGGGGTGTTTTATTTATTTTGATTAAGGCCATGGCGTCTCTCTCAGGCGAGGGAATGCCGGGGTTATCTATTAAGAATGGGTGTAAAGTGTTCTCAGATGATGTACTTTTAGCAATGGGTGAGATTGTAGGGCACGAGAATATAGCATCGGCATCTAGAATGAACAAGGCGGTGGTGGTGTTTTTAAAAGACGAAAAATTGGTAAACAGCCTTGTTGAGAAAGGAATTGTTGTTGCCGATTCCCTGGTGCAAGTAACGCCTTTGCGCGCACCTGCTACCAGAGTCACCATTTCAAATGCACCTCCGTTTATTTCAAATGAACAAATTATAAAAGAGCTTAGTCGCTTTGGAAAGTTTGCTGGATCCATTAAAATGTTGCCGCTCGGGTAAAAACGTAGCTTTAAAACATGTTTTGTCCTTTCGAAGACAAGTAATCATGTTTTTGAGTGCACAATCTAAGGAATTGGATATCTCGTTTCGCATTCAACAAGGGGACAGTTCCTATATGATTTTTGCAACGACAGATAGCTTGAGATGTTTCGAATGCGGCGATTTAGGACATAAGAGGTTCACGTGTCCGCATAAGAAACAATCAGAAAATGAAAATAACAAAATAAATAAGGATGAGCAAACAGTTCAAGGTGAAAAAAGCGAAAGGCAAGACAAAGAAAAACGGCCCATAGTTGCAAAGGATGGAATGAGTTCAGGGAAAAAACAAAAGATAGACGCGGTTAACGAGAAGGATTCGGAGGCAACGGTTTCGGCAGGGGAACCCGGCCTTATTCCTCAGACTGGATCCCCACCCGAGAAGAGTGCTTTAGATCCAAGTTCAAAGTCAGAGGTGAGTGAGTTTATTTCATCTATGCGAGCTGGTGATAATGCTGTAGGCCCGATTGTTTTGGAGGATGAAGTTGATGCTGTTAAGGAGAAGGAAGGTGTTCATGGTAAAGAGGTTGCGAGTGTTACTGGGCTACAGAATAATGTGATTATGGAGAGTGAAGATAGTGATGAAGAAGTGGAGGATTGTGATAATTGTTCGGAGGTTTCAGAGATTGATTGTAGTCAGGCTTTGGAGGAGGTGTATTCGGTCGAGGAATTAAATGATTTTCTGGATTTAACTAAAGGGAAAAAGGTTGATGTTGCAAAATATTTCCCAGATGTTAATAAGTTTATAAAATCCTTGGCGAAAGCACAGAAGACGACGGGCTATGAGGTTATTTCAAAACAGAAACGATTTTGGCTGAAAAAGTTTCTAACAAACGTACGTAAAGCTCAGAAAGAAAACGTAAAATTGTCAAAATTAAAAAAAATAAAGCACATGGGTGTGGGATCTATTCTATTTTCTGTGTTGCTTCTATGTTTTTTGTTTTTTTCCCTCTCCCCTGCCATGCAGATTCTTAGACTAGGATCCTTGAATGTTAATGGGTTGAGGGATGGAGGGAAAAGGGTTTTACTCTCGGAGTTTCTTAGGCTTAAAGATTCAGAAGTATTTTTTTTACAAGAAACCCACAGTGATATAAAAAATGAATCCGAGTTGAATTTGTGGTGGGAAGGAAAGTTTTGTTCAAGCCATGGCACCAATGTAAGTGCAGGTGAAGCTATGTTATTTGCGACTCATCTTAATGTTAATGTTTTATCAGAAACGGAAATAGAAAGAGGACGCGTTTTGATGGTGAAAGCTAAAGTTGAAAATCAGGTATTCGTTTTTATAAATATTTATGCTCCAAATAAAGGGTCGGATAGAGTAATCATGTTTAGAAAATTAGGAGAGTTTTTAAAAAGTTATACTTTAGATGGTATGGTAATCGTGGGTGGGGATTGGAATTGTTCTCTTAACTTTCTTGTAGATAGGAATAATGAAGAACCACATCCTGTATCAGCTGCTGTTTTAAAAAGTATTATAGGTCAGAATGATTTAGTAGATGTATGGAGAGAAAGGAACAAAGAGGTGAAACTTTATACATGGACTAAGGTCTCGCAGGGAATGATACGTGTAGCTAGACTGGACAGGTTTTATGTTAAGTGTGCTGAGAAAAATAGGATAATGGGGTGTAATATTTTTCCATGTTCTCTATCAGATCACAATTTTATCACAGTTAATATTGTTTTGAATCAAACTAAATTTAAAAGTCCGTATTGGAAATTCAATGCTGCATTATTGAAAGAAAAAGAGTTCATTGAGAATTTTGAAATGTTTTGGAAGGAATGGGTTTCTAAGAAAAGGGATTTTGATAATTTGATACAATAGTGGGAAATAGGAAAGACACAAATAAAAATATTTTGTCAGCAGTTTACATGTTTTTATTTATTTATATTTTTGAAACAGGAAAAGATTAAGGACAATCGGGCCTGGCTCAGTATAAACTGATTTTCAGCAGGTTCCTGCCCTGCAGAACATAAAACCACATACACAACAAAGCTTCACACACTAGACAGCCAGAGACAACAACAGACACACAAAACCAAGATATTGGGCAACAGGAGGGGCTATAAAGCCGTCTCAATGGTCACAGATATACCTGTCCACTAAATGGCGAGCAAATGTTATTTTAAACAGTCTTCTTGATGTGATAGTTCTGATGTGCTTTGGGATCTCATTCCAGGTTTTTGTGAGCACATAAAAAAAGATCTCTGTCCATAACAATTTCTAAAAGCCGGTAAAGGCAAAAGTCCATTTATAAATGATCACGTAGTGCGCTCAGACCTTGAGCTAAGTTTCGGAACCAATTCGGTTAGTGCAGTTACAGTATGTTCATTTGAGATTTGATGAAACAGGTTTATCCCATGGCTTATTTTATAGTTCTGAAATGTCAAGGCATTACACAAAGATAGTACAGTACAGTGGTGAGTCCAGCCTGGGAGCCTGATATTGATCTTATGAGCTCCATTAAAGAGTCTTATTACTGGTTCAATAATCTCATTTGTTGTTAGTGACTAAACAGGTAAACAATACGACAAAGTGGACAGAATGATGGCATGAAGATTTTTGAAACAGAAAACAACAAATATGGTCTAATTTTGCTATAAACATTTAACTTTTGATTTAACTTTCTGGTTAAGGTTTGAACATGTTCTTGATAAGTAAGATGTGAGTCAAGGTAGACTCCCAAATACTTATATGCTGATACAATTGAAAGCGTTTGATTAGAAAAAGTGATAGGATTAGATATGGATAGTTGTCTTCTAGATGAATAAAAATACATGCATTGTGTTTTCTTGACATTAAGTGTTAAATGATTATCTTGCAACCAGTTCTGTAAATGTTGCAGATCCGTGTTAAGTTTGTGATTGATTATGTCAATATTAGAACCAGAAACAAAAATAACTGTGTCATCAGCATACAGCAAAGAACTAGAAAAATTCAAAACACAGGGAAGATCATTAATATACATAAGGAAAAGTAAAGGACCTAAAATACTGCCCTGTGGAACTCCCATAGAGCACACTCGTGGCTGTGATGTTACTGAGCCGATTCTTACAGTCTGAGATCCACTCTTTTGTTTTGTTTTTCAACAAGAAAAACAAAACAAAAAATGTCTGAAATTGAACAAGAGATATTTCACATTACATCTGGTATGATTCAGGAATCTAATGCTTGTTCAGCTGGCGTGTTGGGTGAAAAGAAACGTGATCTAGAAGATTTGTTGCAAGTGCGGGCAAAAGGTGCCCTGATAAGATCACGATTTATGTCTGTACATGATATAGATGCTCCCACAGCATACTTTTTTAACTTAGAAAAGGTGTCAAA